TGTGCGCTGAGGTGGGGTGTCTGCGCCCAGGATCACGAGCCGGGCCCTGGACTCCTCAGCCCCCACAGGGGATGCGGGGGCGGACCCCCCGCCAGGACAGCCAGCTGCGTGAGGATGCGGGGAGAGGGGCTGCTGGCTGCCTTGCGTGTGGAGAAGCCGAGTGTGACTGGCAGAGCCTCGCTCTAGGCCTCCCCCGAGCTGGCTGTGTTCTGTGCAGCAGGTGGCTCCTGCGCCAGGTCAGCTCTGTCAGCCCGGTCAGTTCTGTCAGCCGGTCAGCTCTGTCAGCCGGTCAGCTCTGTCAGCCGGTCAGCTCTGTCAGCCGGTCAGCTCTGTCAGCCGGTCAGCTCTGTCAGCCGGTCAGCTCTGTCAGCCGGTCAGCTCTGTCAGCCGGTCAGCTCTGTCAGCCGGTCAGCTCTGTCAGCCGGTCAGCTCTGTCAGCCGGTCAGCTCTGTCAGCCGGTCAGCTCTGTCAGCCGGTCAGCTCTGTCAGCCGGTCAGCTCTGTCAGCCGGTCAGCTCTGTCAGCCGGTCAGCTCTGTCAGCCGGTCAGCTCTGTCAGCCGGTCAGCTCTGTCAGCCGGTCAGCTCTGTCAGCCGGTCAGCTCTGTCAGCCGGTCAGCTCTGTCAGCCGGTCAGCTCTGTCAGCCGGTCAGCTCTGTCAGCCGGTCAGCTCTGTCAGCCGGTCAGCTCTGTCAGCCGGTCAGCTCTGTCAGCCGGTCAGCTCTGTCAGCCGGTCAGCTCTGTCAGCCGGTCAGCTCTGTCAGCCGGTCAGCTCTGTCAGCCGGTCAGCTCTGTCAGCCGGTCAGCTCTGTCAGCCGGTCAGCTCTGTCAGCCGGTCAGCTCTGTCAGCCGGTCAGCTCTGTCAGCCGGTCAGCTCTGTCAGCCGGTCAGCTCTGTCAGCCGGTCAGCTCTGTCAGCCGGTCAGCTCTGTCAGCCGGTCAGCTCTGTCAGCCGGTCAGCTCTGTCAGCCGGTCAGCTCTGTCAGCCGGTCAGCTCTGTCAGCCGGTCAGCTCTGTCAGCCGGTCAGCTCTGTCAGCCGGTCAGCTCTGTCAGCCGGTCAGCTCTGTCAGCCGGTCAGCTCTGTCAGCCGGTCAGCTCTGTCAGCCGGTCAGCTCTGTCAGCCGGTCAGCTCTGTCAGCCGGTCAGCTCTGTCAGCCGGTCAGCTCTGTCAGCCGGTCAGCTCTGTCAGCCGGTCAGCTCTGTCAGCCGGTCAGCTCTGTCAGCCGGTCAGCTCTGTCAGCCGGTCAGCTCTGTCAGCCGGTCAGCTCTGTCAGCCGGTCAGCTCTGTCAGCCGGTCAGCTCTGTCAGCCGGTCAGCTCTGTCAGCCGGTCAGCTCTGTCAGCCGGTCAGCTCTGTCAGCCGGTCAGCTCTGTCAGCCGGTCAGCTCTGTCAGCCGGTCAGCTCTGTCAGCCGGTCAGCTCTGTCAGCCGGTCAGCTCTGTCAGCCGGTCAGCTCTGTCAGCCGGTCAGCTCTGTCAGCCGGTCAGCTCTGTCAGCCGGTCAGCTCTGTCAGCCGGTCAGCTCTGTCAGCCGGTCAGCTCTGTCAGCCGGTCAGCTCTGTCAGCCGGTCAGTTCTGTCAGCCGGTCAGGTCTGTCAGCCCGGTCAGTTCTGTCAGCCCGGTTAGTTCGGTCATCCCGGTCAGCTCTGTCAGCCCGGTCAGCCCGGTCAGCTTGCACGCTGCCCCTGCCTACCCCGCTGGCCCCGGGCGTGCACTGCAGAGACTGCGCGGTGCGTTAATTCTGGGATACACGGGCGGTTTTGGGTGTTTTTCTTTTTCACATATTAACGTCTCCGAAGCTGGATTGTGTCTTACAATCACTGGCATCTTACAGCCACCGTTGGCCAGATGGCGTTACGATGTGGTGTAACTGCCTGGTCATAGCTGCTCATCTCGTTGTCAGTTCTTTATCTAACGTTGAATGAGCTACTTGGAGTCGGTAATGAAAACACTACAGGCTCCTGGTTTAAAAGGTAGAAGTTTATCCCTGGCCGGTGCGGCTCAATGGATAGAGCACCGGCCTGCGGACTGAAGGGTCCCGGGTTCGATTCCAGTCAAAGGCACATGCCCAGGGCTTGATCCCCAGTAGAGGGCATGCAGAAGGCAGGCGATCCATGATACTCTCATCATTGATGTTTCTATCTCTCTCTCCCTCTCCCTTCCTCTCTGAAACCAATAAAATATACTTAAAATAAATAAATAAACGGCAGAAGTGACCCTCAGTGGCACAGCCAATAGCGGCGTGTCTATTCCTGGCCACGGCGTTTGCTGAGATGCAGCGCTGGGCCCGTGGGCTCCTCAGAGTATGCCACGATCACGTCACTTACATGTTCCCTTCTCTCTTCTGTCCAAACAGCAAATTCCGGACGCCGTCTGAACTCCACAACGACAATTTCTCCCTTTCCACCATTGCCGAGGGCTCGCACCCAAACGTAAGGAAACCGGGCCGCCGCCCGCACCCCCTGCACCCCCTGCCCACTCCGGCTCCCCTGTAACCTTGTCCTCCAGGTGGCGCCTTCCTTGGGCCTCCCCTCCCCATGCACGCTCAGCCCGCTGGGCCTGCGTCCGTCTCGGTGCGGAGCCGCCACTCGGCCCCGGGACCCGCTGGGGTTGGGGCCGTGGGCATGGGAAGGGGGGCTTGATGGCGCCTCTCTCCCCGTCTCGCGGAGCCGTGGGGGTGCGGAGGGTTAGGGTGATGGTGCTTCGTCTTCCTGCTCTTTCTGTCGAGGAGGAAGCTGGGCCTTGATTGCTGGGGGATGCCTGGGGGTCACTGAAGCCAGAGGGGTTGCCCTTGGGGGGGCTGGGCAAACTGTGTTGACATTGTTTCGGGACCCTAAATGCCGGCAGACTTCTAGGCAGTGGTTAGGGCTGAGGTGGCCTGAACCCAGGGGGGACCATAGGTCCGGGTAAGCCCTGTCCTTAGGGGGTGGGCTCGTTAAAGACCAGCTGAAACCCAACCCAAGTCCCACCGACTTTTCTAAAGACCCGGCCCAGTGTGTGCTCTGGACCAGGCTGGCCAGTCAAACACCAGGTCCCATCAGAGACAGTGTCCCAAGCAAAGCAGGCCCTGGCCGGTGTGGCTCAGTGGACAGAGCATCAGCCTGCAGACTGAAGGGTCCCGGGTTCGACTCCGGTCAGGGGCACATGCCTGGGTTGCAGCTCAATCCCCAGTTGGGGGGCGTGCAGGAGGCCACAGTCCATGCCTCTCTCTCATCATCGGTGATTCCCTCCCTCCCTCTCATTTCCTCTCTGAAGCCAGTAAACATGTGTCTTTAAAAAGGAAGAAAGAAAGGTGTTTGGATCAAGTCCCCTCTGTGTCCGGCCGGGGTCTCTGAAGGTGACTTTCCCCAAAAGCAGCTGCTGGCCCGTCCCTGTGGCTCATCGTCTCACGCTTCCCTCACTCGCTCCAGCCGGTCATTTGGTCCCTCTCCCGCCCTTGGCCTCCATCCTGCCCCTCCCTCACCTCTGTCCCTCTTGCAGGACGACCCCAGCGCCCCCCACAAAATCCAGGAGGTCCTCAAGTCCTGCCTGAAAGAGGAGGAGCCCTTCAACATCCAGAACTCGCTGTCGCCCAAGCTCGAGGGCCGCGGGGACCCGGCGGAGCTGGAGGCGAACTGTCTTCAGAACAACTTGACCTGAGGGGCGAGGGGCGAGGCGAGGGGGCGGGGCGGGGGAGGGGCCAGGTCGCCCCTTTGTAGCTGTCGGTCCAGCTTTTCCTTTCTGTCTCATGGCATGCTTCGTGTGTGTTGCACGGGAGGGAGACACAGTCAGCCAGGAGCCGGGCAGCATCGCGTCCCTGGGTGGTTGTCTGTGCGTCTGTCCGTCCATCGCTTCTGCTGCTGTGGTTTCTAAGCCTCTGCTGTTATTCAACTGACTTTTTCTTTTTGTACTTGGATCCACCTTTTTTTGAAATACCAGTAAAAACAACAAAAGTTCTTGAAATAAAACTTTTTAAAAAGCCACCTTTCTAACGTCCTGTGTTCACTCCCTCCCCGTTCTTGTCCGTTTGAGTTGAAGTCTCATCTCCCGTGGGGGTGTCTGTAGACGGGCGACATCCCAGAGATGGCATGTGAGTCTGCTCGTGCTCACGCTCCCTCGACCAGCACCACAGACCTGGCGCCTTGAATGACGGAAGTCCAAGGTCAAGCAAGGTCAAGGTGCCGGCAGAGTTGGTTTCTGGTGAGGCCGCACCTTCCTGCTTGCAAATGGCCATCGCCTTGCTGTGTACTCATGTGGCATTTTCTCTGTGCATGAGAGAGAGGCAGACATAAAGACGGAGAGAGAGAGAAGGAGGCAGGAGAGAGAACAAGAGAGGGGGTGGAGAGAGAGTGAGGTCTGCATTCCTCCTCTGATAGGACCCCAGTCCTATTGGATTAGGTCCCACCCTGATGACCTCATTGAGCCCTGTAGGTCCTGTCTCCCATGCAGTCACACGTGATTAGGGCTTCAACACACGGCTTCTCAGAGAACAAACTCCGTCAGTCCTCTCTGTGGCACCGATTATCAAGACCACTCTGGGCCCTGCTCAGAGCATCGTCCTAAGATCGCAGGTTCGACCCCCAGTCAGGGCACATCCAAGAGTCAACCAATGAATGCATAAATAAGTGGAACAGCAGATCAATGTTTCTCTCTCTCTCCCTCTCCTGTCTCTCTCCCTCTCCTTCTCTCTCTAAAATCAAAGAAGGAAAGACCAAAAAAAATCACATAAAATAAAATCAAGGACGTAGCCTAATGGGCATGGTTTAGTGGTTGAACATTGACCTATGAACCAGGAGGTCACGGTTCGATTCCTGGTCAGGACACATGCCCTGGTTGTTGGCTGGATCCAGGAGGCAGCCAGCTGATCAATGATTCTCTCTCATCATTGATGTTTCTATCTCTCCCTCTCAATTCCTCTCTAAAATCAATAAAAATACTTAAAAAATAAAATGAGTGGAGGCGGGAGGCGGACTGCTCTTCCCGCTTTCTCACTGGTAGATATTTACTCAGCACGTGCGCAGCCAGCAGCCCTGAGGAGCCGGGCCCCTCACTGAGTGAGACCCAGGACCGTCGCGCTGCGTGGCAGGCTGTGAAGGGACGGCCCAGGGCCGAGGCCGTGCACACAGGGCTGAGCAGCATCAGGTGTGTTTTCTCAGACGCGACCTCCGGACGCCGGTGGGGCAGACAGGGGCTGGCAGAACGCGGGCTGTGGATGAGGATGGATTAGCGAGAGAAGTAGGAGTTCAGGCAGCCAAGTCCTGACCCTCGGGGGCTGGCAGAACGCGGCCCGTGTTCAGTCTGTGGTCATTCCAGTCGCTGGGATCCCGGCGGCGTGTTTCTGTTGTCAAATTCTGCGGGTTCTGCCCGATTTGTGTCCGCGGGCCTGATTACTTTAGATCTTGTGCTGGAAGGCAGCTATGCTCACCACTGTACCACCAACGCCAACTGGATCTTGTGCTGGACCTGGTGTTTGAAACGTGGCTTTTGCAGTGTTTTGAGGCCCAGGATAATTCCTGGGTTGGTTTGCTTCTGCCAGGTGCCCAGGGGCCCTAGAATCCTGGGGTCACGTCATTCCAGGCTCAAGGCCAGAGATTTCCGGGCCACAGGCCCATCTGCTTCTGGTTCGTCCTCACCTACGGCCCCATCCCTCAGGTCACGGTCCCAAACAGGCAGTGGGTCCTCACTGCCG